CATCCCCACTGCCTGTCGGTGGGATCGGTGAATGGCTCGGAGGAGACGGTCAATCGTCACAATATATATATATATAATTATTAATATATACTGTATATACTGCTTACCATGATTTAAAATAACCCTCAATACTAGTTAAAATGAAAGTGTCACAGAGCTTTTGTACTATACAAACACTGCGGACCGCTGCGATAAATCATGAATCATAATCTGTGTTTGTTTTGCAGTGGCTCAGGTCTCGGGGCCGATGGGGAAGATGCGTCTTCAACATTAGGTACTGAGAAAATCATGCTGAGAGACTGTCTTCATCAGCTTGACTCTGAAAATCTTGATGGTTAATTTGCAGTAAATGTGTCGAGTTGGTTTTTGTCTCTCAGATGTTCATGCACATGTGTTTTGCAGTCAAAGGTCAGGAGTATGACGCCATGCTCACCAATATCATGTCTATGGGCTATGAGAGAGATAAAGTGGTGGCGGCACTCAAGGCCAGTTATAACAACCCTCACCGCGCTGTGGAGTATCTGCTCAATGTGAGTGTGAGCGTGCTCTTGCTTTCCAAATGCATTTATAACACCAGTCACACTTGCTCTTTTTTATTATTATTATTCTTGTGTATGTTTTTAAGAGAGCTCCATGCATGTTTGTGAATCTGATGTACTGTTGTGTCCTGTCTCAGGGGATTCCTACTGTCCCAGTGCAGGAAACCAGTCCTGCTCCAGCTCAGCTCCCCACAGACACGCAGCCCGCAGAAGGTGAGATGGTGCTTGAAATAAATGCGCTAACAAAGCTGTTTATTCCCAAAAGAGGAACCATAATTTTTAAAGAAATCTACACTACCGTTTGGAGTTTGTAAGAACTTTCTTCTGCTCAGTAAAGACCAAATATTATTACAATTTAAAATAACTTTTCTGTTTGAATATATTTTAAAATGTAATTTATTGCTGTGATCAAAACTGATTTTCAGCATCATTACGCCAGTCTTCAGCGTCACTTGATCCTTCAGAAATCATTCTAATATACTGATCTGCTGCTCTTTAAATATTTCTTATCAATGTTGAATGCACTTCTGCTGCTTATTGTTAAAAAACCATAATACATTTTTCCTTAGGATTCTTTGATGAAATAGCAGTTAAAAAGAATGGCATTTATTTAAACTAGATTTTTTTCCTAACATTATAGATGCCAGTACTGTCACTTTTGATCAATTTATTACATCCTTGCTGAATAAAAATAATTAATTTCTTTAAAAAAAAATCTTTCTAACCCAAAACTTTTGAACGGTGGTGTATATTTTCAAGCAAAAACAATTAAAAAAGTAATTTCCACACCGTTTTTAAAAAATTAGCACAAAAAGAATGAGAATTTGAATGCAATTATGTGTTTTTTCACTAAAAAATTCTAATATATAGGGAAGACTTTTATGAATATAATTTATGCAAGCGAATTATAAATTTGAATCAGAGTTGAAAATGATTAATTGATGGAAAGGAATCCAACTGACAAACTTTAATGCCATTTTTACTACTGTAATTTAATTTCTTGTTTGTTTACGGCTGACCACTTTTAATAGCCATTTATTGATTTTATTAAAATAAAATGCACATTTAAATGATTGCAATATTACAAATATATTGTCAGCATTCAGTACACGGCCCGGCCCGTCCCTACCATGAGTTGACGGAGCGTTTGATGTTGTTAGGTGAGAATCCGCTGGAGTTCCTGCGCTCTCAGCCGCAGTTCCAGAGCATGAGGCAGGTGATCCAGCAGAACCAGTCCTTACTGCCGGCCCTCTTGCAGCAGCTGGGACAGGAGAACCCTGAACTCCTGCAGGTGATCACACATCTCCAGCACAAAGCCTCACAGTCTGTTTGTGCACGCTCTCAAGTCTTTAACTCACCGTGTGACCATGTTTCATTGATTTCAGCAAATCAGCCAGCATCAGGAGCGCTTCATCCAGATGTTGAACGCACCGGTGGGTGAGGGGGAAGTCGAGGGTGGAGAGTTTGCTGATTTGGGTGCTCTCGGTGACGAGGCGGCACCTGGGAGTTACATCCAAGTGACGCAACAGGAGAAAGAAGCCATCGACAGGGTGAGTGAACGCCACTGAACGGGACGTCTGGCCAGACAGAGTTCCTTGTACCATATTCAACCATTTGTGTGTTTACTTGTGGTGAGTTTGAATATGGTTCCCCCAAAATAACCTTAATAGATTCAAACTTCCATCCGTTTCTGCAGCTTCGTTTGTGATACCTCACACCAGTGTTATTGTGATATTGTTAGTTTGAATGAGCTTTTATCTGTATACTTGTTGTATATCTGTAGATCTGTTTTTAAAATGTTGAAAACAGGTTTTGCTGCTTAATATTTTGTAGAAACGGTTTACATTTTATATATTTTTTTAATACATTTTTTTTTAAAGATTTTTTTCTTTCTTTCTTCAAACTTTTGAATGGTAGCATATCAATTTCTACAAAAATATGAAGCACTACTACAACTGTTTTCAACATTGATCAAAATAAATGCTTCTTGAGCAGCAAATCAGCATATTAGAATGATTTCTGAAGGATCATGTGACACTGAAGACTGGAGTAATTATGCTGAAAATTCAGCTTTGATCACAGAAATGAATTACATTTTACTATAAATTATTCCAAACAGTTTTATTTACTTCAGTATATCAAGTTTAACTAAATGAAAATGAGAAATGTTACCTTACCAACCAGATGAAATTGAAAAAGTTTAATAAAATTTTTTTTATATCGTTTTTTTTCAGTTACAAAAAAAAAAAGAAAAGTTTTTAAAATGGATTTAGATTTTGTTAACTATAATAACCCAGTGTCGCACAAATGGAAAGCAACTAATCTAACCTGTCTGTCTTTCTCTCTCAGTTAAAAGCTCTGGGGTTTTCAGAAGCTATTGTGGTCCAGGCATACTTCGCCTGTGAGAAGAACGAGAACCTGGCCGCAAACTTCCTGCTCAATCAGAATTTCGAGGACGAGTGAGAGTCGCGGAGAGCCCACGTGCCCCCTCCCCTGCCACCACACAAGCACTGCATCTACTCGGGACACCGTTTCCCCCCATTATTTCTTTGAGTTTACAAGTCAAGGGGAGACTCGCAGACTGGTTGGGGACGGGGCGGATGCAATCACTCGGTGAACAAATTCCAATGGAATTGACGGCATTTGGGTTGAATGCACTCTAGCATGTTGAAGAAGTGTGCTTGCACGCGTGTATGCGTGTTCCCTTAGGGAATATATTTGACTAAATCAGCATCAATTGAAAGCAAACGCTCTGATAGTAGTATTATGGGTTGTGAGGAGGTTAGATGTGGGCATACGCATTTGCTTGGTTGTTTTTAGTTGGGATAAGGATTAATGATATATGTCTAATGGAGGATTTTATATATTTCTCTAAAATCAGAGATATTTCTGTATTTCTCCCAGCACACACCTCTGATGAATGTGATAACAGCATTCATAAATGAAACAATTAGTGCAAATTATAGCATTTCTGTAACTTTCTCAGCAAAACAATTGACCTAAAATGATGCTGTTCTGTAAACGAATCCATATCATGTGGAATACCATAATCCGAGTGATGATGGTTTTGAATGTACTTGAATTCAAAAGATCATTTGTCCTATTTAAAGTCAACGTGAAATGGCAGTCGCAAGCTGTTTGTATTTGCAAGTTTAACAAGAAATCGAATTCACCAAAATGTAGAACGGGACTCAAAAATGAAGGATTTGTTCCTTCTTGCCTGACATTTTAAATTATTTTGATGAACTTTTTTTTTTTTTATTTACAATACAATTTGTGCATAATTCCATGCATACGTGCTTTAAGAACGTAAATAAAGTCAATTTCATACTGACTTTAAAAAGCTTCTTATTTAAACTTAGTACACTCTGTAGGTCACAAATATAAATAAGGATAATTTTTCATGACATTAGCTTTGCTATATTCATACGAGGACCAACAAGAGGTTTTTGGCACACTAGAGCTCACTGCATTTCAGAAGCCAAAAGCAGAGACCTGTTACAGCATGATGATACTCCACCAGATTAAGTCCTGTCAAAGAGAGATTTTCTTGAATCATATTGGTGTAAAGCTGACAATGGGTTCCTCTGTTCATGTATTGAGAGTAAAGTCTTGTAACATTCACCTCTTAAAGCAAGTTCAGCAGCAGAGGGAAAGAGCCTTCGGCAGCGACTCAACTTTACATTGTTTTCGCTCATAGCAAAGAAACGCTCCTTTGTAATGTAGTAGCCAAACTGCCAGACAGTAGACTCTTGTTTACTTATCAGCAGGCCTACATGAAGTCTGACCTTGTCTTCAAAATAAATGGTCACTTTTGTTAAATGCAATGCTCTCATTGCTGAATAATGTATTATTAAATTCTTCAATGTATTAACATGTGGTGGAAATCAGCAGAGCTTTGTGAATGCAGATTCCATGTAGGCCTGTTTTAGTAATTAATCATTTGATTTTACTATAGCTTGAACTCCCCTGGGATCAATAAAATCTTGTTGCAAAGAAAAGTTTCAGTGGTGTCAGTTTCTCACCATAAAACAAACCCATATCAGAATCGTTGTACAGTCAAGAACATCATTTATTCAATCAGGTGCTGCTCTTTACAAACATTTTAGTTTTTATAATGGAAAAGAATCTAAATAACATGCAGATTGCCAAAGGCTCTGTGGAGGCGCGCAGCAACGGAGAGCGCTGGATCAGAGACGCTTCTGTACCAAAACACATCGACAGCATAGACACAATCCGGGTAGATATTTAAAAAACGCATACGGCTACATAAACACGAGTAAATCGGGGCAGATTCTGAATGATTAAATTAATAATTCTGATTTTAATGCTACTGACAATCACTTCAGCATGGTGTGCATGTAAAAAGTAATGTACATTAATTAAAATATCAATGGATTATTTTAATTAAGATGATCAAAGTGTCATACTCTACATGCATAGCATCTCAATGACAGTTGCTTGACTGGCACACCAAGAACAATAACTATATTAGCATATACACTAACGCACCAATAAAGTGCATGCTATAGGCTAGTTTTGTCATCTTCCACTTTAAATAATCAAGGATGGACTCTGATTGGCTGTTAATGTTTTTATTGTTCATTAGCTGGAAAACAAATGTTCTGAAAGTGACTCCAACAATATCATTCCTCTGTCTCGTTGCGGACTTCTCTATTCTTATAGAATTATAATGATTATTAAAACTTTGTAGTTATCGTTATCATCCTTTATGCAACATTTATGCTCGTCTATTTCTATATCCACTAAAAATTGTTCACTGCTGAAACATCTACTATAATGATTAATATGGTGCTTAGAAAAAATGCACGGCTTGAAGTATTTTAAGTGGAGCAGCTGGGATTGAACGTGTAGCCTATCTATTACTAGTCCAACCATTGACAACAAAGCTGCCGCCACATCTGGATCAGTACTTCTAAATGCAGGGCATATTATTCTTAGTGCACTGTTTTAATCGGTGCATAAGGTGCGATTAGCAAATCATCAGTCAAGTTCTTTAAACCGCTGTTCTCAAACAACCACTAAAAAGGTGCTTTAATTGCAGAGTCAACAGCGAGACTTAATGGAAATAAATACAACACAAACAAACATGACAGAGCTACTGTGCATCTTCTGGTCCAGCGCTCTCCACCGACAGCCAAACAGATCTGGCACCAGGACCGCACCGCTTCCCAAGACACAATGTCTTCTCAGATGTAGGGAGGGCGAGCGGGTCGGTCCTGGGTCAGTTTGTACTCAGAGCCCACTGCGTTTGACTGAAGAGCGAGAGGTGTGTATGATATAAACATGTGAAGCATACAGACAGGGATACAACATTAGAGTTTACAACATCTTGCTCAAGAGAAAAAGGTTCAACATTTTTTTTTCCAACTCTTTCACCAGAAGTAGGGAGAGGGAGGAAAGATAAGGATAGACATCTACGGCGCCAAGAGCGAGAGACTGATAAAGACAGGGGTACAGAGAAATAGGGACCCGATTTTTTATTTTTTATTTTTTACTTTTTCCCCCCCCCATCATTGTACAATAAAAAGAACAAAATCACATCCATTTTCTTGTAGTACTATATACTGTGAATACGGCTTGAGAAAGCTCAGGAGGAGAGACGGGTGTTCATCATTTACAAGATGGTGTCTGTGAACAAAAGGCACTTTGAATGGGACAACCTTTAAATGCTCACCTATACACTACAGCACGAACACTATGGGAGCTCATTTACATACAGGAAGTGTTTCCAGGACGATACGGGGCAGCCGTTTTTCCAGACGCGTTTTTGCCTCTCGACTCGAACCTTGTGTGCTCTAAACTACGACTAACGAAACCCTACTCACATTAACATCGACACGATCTCATCTAAATGAAGCAGAGATGTGGAGCAAATGTGATCTGATTGCTTGTGACGAACCCTCTAGTTGCGATGCTTTATTTGGTCCATTCCTCCAATCAAAACACACTTTTCTGCATATTCATCAGGTATTTTGGTGCATTCAAGTCCTCCTGGGAAGTTTGTATTTATGAGTTGCGAAGTCATTTTTAACTGCAAAATTACAAATAATGTGCATCAGGTATATTTGTGCTTTTTTAAAGTTTTTATTCAATTTATGAAGGTGCAATTGTTATGCATTATATCGCAACTGTGGATTACTATCATAATTTATTACGCAACTTTATTGTAAATGAAAAACATGATTTCGTACATTTTAAACCTTACCGCTAATTACAGATGCTGCATTCATTGCGGCGTTCATGTGCGTTCAACTCAAATCCAATCTTTCCGACAAACTTGAATGCACCATTTATCTAGACATTTGAAGGAGCAAGAAGGGGCATTGCTTTCTTAAAGGTTGTAGTAAAATGCCTTTTGTCAGAACCAAAATATATATATAAAAATCTGAACCCCCTTAGTAAATACAAAAGTGAAGAAGAGAGAAACAGAGGCTCGTAAAATTTGTCTCGTCAGAAACAGTCGTTCTGGTGTGGTATTATTTGCGCTCGAGTAACAGAAGCACCAGTATTTATTTATTACATTTTTTTTTTTTTTTGTCATAATACATTTGCTGTTGTAAAATCGTTCCTTCGGCCCCCACCCCTAAAATAGTTTAAAAACCAAAGCTTACAAATAAAACATTAAAAAATATAAATGAAAAGTCAAAATTAACTTCCCGCCTTTAACGCTTACAAAGACTGGAATTCTTTTTGTGGCCCTCGTGTTTAGAGTCCAGGAGCTTGCAGACTTTTTTTTTTTGTTTTGTCTTTTTTCCACTTGCTTCGCTTTCTTAAAAATCTGAAGACAAACACAGATATCTACCCAACACATTGCACACGGCTCAGTCCACATAGAACTTTTTTTTTTTCTCTCTCAATAATAACACTTTTCAACAAAAAGAATTTGTGTTTTCTCTGAAAAATTGGTGTGTTCTGAAGGTGTATTTGTGTCTGCACTGACCTGATATGACAGTTCTGGCGCTTCTGACGAGATGATCTGACATTTGTGGGTTTCATATGTTTGTACGTTTTCCGATGACATCACTGACTCGGGTCAAAGGTCAAAAAATAACTAGACTGCCATAGAGCTAATTTCACAGCGGAAGAACTATACATATGTCTATATATATATATATATATATATATATATATATATACACACACACAGTATGAGTACGATATGTTCTGGATAACATCCATCTATAAATATGATGTTTGCAGTTGCTCATATGTTGTTTGCCAAGCCCATGATACATATTGTACATATTTTCTCTAGCTTATACATGAAGTGAAGACCCTGAATTGCATGTAAAGGGGACACCGAGGCACTTTGATGTGTTTCAAGTGGATGATGAAATGGTCAGCTCTCAGCCAATCAGAGTCCCTGACAATGTGATTGACAGCCAGGCAGTCCAGTTATTTAGTGAGGTCAGTGGTTTCGAGCATTCTCTTTTTCGAGTTCATCTAAAATTGAAACATGCTGTACTTTAAATAGGGTGCATGTTGTAAAATCATGTTTGATAGAGGAATTTGAGTTTAAAGGTTTCCCTTTGTCCTTTATGGAAGTGGGTGTGTGTCATAGTGCAATGTTTGTGTATGTGTGCATGTATGTACTTTAGTTGAGCACTGTGCTGATAGGCTAAATGAAATTAGATTGTCGTGCGAGCCAGGCTGTACTCGTGAACTGAAACAAACCACTGAGCAGTGGAGGAAAAAAAAAAAAGCGGTAAAGTTATGAATGAACTGTAAAGTGATGGAAGGGCAGAGCACTGTCGACATAATAGCCATCAAAAACATCTAATTAATGAAGCTCCAAAAGGAAAACTTGAGATTGTCTGTTTGTTAGTCACATTCTAGTTGAAGGAGAGCTGATCTTAACCTGTAACTCTAAAAACAAAAAAAGCACAATTCCACATGCAGTCCGATCTGACGGAGCAGAAGCGGCTATGTTATGCAAACTAAAATCGCACAAAACCAGAAAACAAACACAAGTGAAAGGGTGAATGTCACAAAAACACATTCAGGTCACATTCCAGAATCAAAATAAATATATTAAAAAAATAATATTTTAAATTAAATTGAAGCCTATTTTTGGGTCACTGAGATTGCTTGCATTGTGACAATATTTTTTAGGACAATTAAGCATTTTCATCCATAATTCTCATTAGTAAATTAGTAAAAGTAAATTATGGATGAAAAATTTAAATTGTAATAATTATTTATTATTATTTTTTAATTGTTTGATTTTTATTTTTTTTGCATGAGAATTTCAGAAAAAATGGCTTCGTTATTATGACCATTTCACTTTAAATAATTATTAATTAAATACCCTTTTAAAAAAAATCATATTTCTGTCTTGTTTTCAAAATAAAATTTTTGAATTTTGTTTTTGGGGTGATATATGACCTGAATTTTTTATTTGTATTTTTTATTTTTTTGACATTCACAAAAAAAAAAAAAAAAAAAAGTACTGCAAAACCAAAGCAAAGTAAAGCAGAAGAAGCCCTTGTGTGCAGGGCTGACTGTAGGATATATGATATGATGCACAAGCACTCCAATTGATCGATGTTAGCGAAGAGGTCAGCGACGGATGCGCCAAAACCCTCGTTAGTTCATGCGAACCGGTTTTATGACTCAAATCACTGGCCTTTTAATTCATAAACACTACAAAATGAAAAATGTTCGTTGAGTCACAAGCTTGACATTAAAGTCACTCGTGCTTGACCCTTCCCATTCCTGTGATCAGCTGTCTGTCTATATGATGCTGTGTAGTGCTGTCATTGACGTGTGTGTATTGCTCTGCTGGAACTCATCTCTGTGTGTTTTACCTTACAAAACATGTAGCCTGACTCCACATCGCAAATCTAAGGCCAAAGCTTCTGTCATCCCTTATCATTAATCACATTTTAGGTGAATTGCACTCGGTTACTGTTATCTGTTGTTTTGCTGGTCAACTGGTAAACAGTGAGAGGATGCCGAGTTCACACTGCACTGGAGGGCGTCACCAAAATCAGCAAATCCAGATTAGGAAGTGTAAGCCTGAGCCAATCAGAAGGCTCCAGCCAAGTCTCTCCATCCAATCACACGCGTCTGACATCATCCAGGTTATATGTCCGTTTCAAATGTCCCTTTTCGATGATTTCAATTTCTGAATAGAGTTCTGACTAGGAAGAGATGGATTTCCTCACCATGGCATATGACTGGCGGATGAACAAATTAAAGGAAGGTAGACGGGATTGGTCTATATGCTGGATGTCTCGGGAACACGACGAAGATGTAGGTTTGTCGTTCCTTTGTTTGGTTCTCCGAGCTGTCCAGACTGGCAGGGTAATGCTGAAGTCTTCCAGATCCCTCATCGTTTGGGGGAATGGTGTGTGTATTTGTGCGTGTGTTTGTGTGTGAGAGAGACTTTACAGGGGGGCGTGTGGGAAAGTTCCATACTTAGCTTTGTGACTCCATTTCCAGTTTTCATTGTGGATTTGTGTCTGTGTGGTTTATGAAAAGTCTCGTCAAAGGAACCATGACTGAAAGAAAAGGAAAGAAATGCGAGTCATTTTAAAAATAACCTTAGTTAATATGTTTCATAACCACATTTTAAATGACTGAGTAAATGAGTTTTCTATCCAATTCCTCTTAAAAATATAGAAATTGTTTGCTCAAACAGGGAAATTCATGTCCTAAAACTTTCTCTCTTCTATTGAAATTTTTTTTTATCAGAATTTATTTGATGTTAAAAGTGTGCAATATGTGAATATACACAGACTTGCATGAGATTTGAAATATACAGTGGACGGATTTGAGGGGAGAGTTTTCAGCAAATAATGACTGTGTTCAAAAGTTTGGACACAGTTTTGAGTATAAATTTAATACTTTTATTCAGCAAGGATGCACTATATTGATCAAAAGTGACAGTACAGACTTTTATAATGCCGGTAAGCAAGGTTTTCACCAAAAAATTAAGCAGTAATATATTAAAACAGTTAAAAATATTAACTGTTTTCAACCTTGCTAATAATAATGTTTCTTGAGCAGCAAATCAGCATATTAGAATGATTTCTGAAGGATCATGTGACACTGAAGACTGGAGTAATGATGCTGAAAATTTAGCTTTCCATCACAGGAACAGAAAACATTTATTTGAAATTAATAATTTTTCACATTTATTTCTGCCGTTTTGATCAAATAAATGCAGCCTTGGTGATAATAAAATACTTTTTTGACCAACTTTTGAAAGTTGGTAAAGGCAGAAAGTCATGTGGTTTTGGAACGACATGAAGGCATGAAGTGTATGAAAACACTTCAAAAGAATGTTTACTGTTGAGTGAACTATTCCTGACAGTTTGACATTTTTATCAGTGCACTGTGACAGTTCTCAGAATAACCACTAGAGTACAGTGGACACAATATAAACACACACTACTACTACAGACCAGCTCAGAAATCTCAGTGTCACTGCTTCCCCCGGCAAAATGAATGCTTAAACAAAGCTAACATTGTCCCCTGCTGGTTTTAGTATGGTATCTAGAGAGAAATACTTGACTTAAGAAG